TCTAAATTGACATAGTTTCTGTCCACTACAGTATAAAAAGGAGTTGGTTAATTGTTCGTTTAGACGCATTCAGCATACGCGTACAGCCGACACCATTGAAGAAGAAATACTGCGAGATAACAACTATCCGTTGAAATTTATTAGGCGTTACGGAAGTGTCAAACAAAGAGCTCTACCGATCCAGTCAGCTCCCAAAAAGGATATTGATATATCCTCGCCGTTCAGGTGTGATCAACAAAGTCTGATCACTAAACAAAGACTCAAGGCGGCGATTAATAGAACTTGCTATGCAGCCAAACTTATCTTTATAGAGAAAACTAGATCTATGTTGTCCTGTAAACCCTGACAGCATTTGAATGATAGCGTCACATCCCATTATGTTTACTAATTTACATGTATGTGTGGACACACGTACATAGGGAGGACCCATCGGTCTCTGCAGGTTAGGGCTACAGAACATACTCCAAAATGGCTGCAACAATATCACCGGATACAATTGACTCCGGAAATAGATGTCCAACATCATCTACAGCCAAGCACATTATAGAGACGGGTCACAAGGTTGATTTCAATAATGTCTTTAAATCCATATATAAATGCAATACTTAAATCGTTGAAGCCTTGGCCATAAAAAGGCTTAAACCTGACTTATGTGTCCAAAAGTTACTAGTTATTACTTTACACCTGCTTTGGTAATTCAGTTTAGAATCACGGTCCAATTTATTTATTGATACTATCACCCTCTCCCCTTTTTTTCCTTTTCTTACCCACATCCTTACGCCATCTTCCTACCCCTATTTGTGACCTTGACCTGTACACAATATGACCTGTATTGTAATAATTTATGCTATCTTGCCTTCTATATCAATGTGTATGATAAGAACGTGTGTGATCAGGATGTCCGAAAAGTGTCGCGCAAATACATGACACGTTTTGGACAAACTACGTCTTCTTATCAGCAGTAGTCTTCAGCATTTAGTTCTTCGCATCCTAGGCAACCCAACTAAACAAGTCTACACCTCCCTGTGTGGCTGGTTCAAACCATCCATCAAAGAATTCATGGATTGATTCGACGTCTTCGTTCCCGTTCCAGCTAACACTGCTCGTCAAAGATGGAGATGGGTTAGCATGTGTAACACGTAGCCTTACATGTACCTTTACAAAACTCATCGATTGACTTACCCTCCTTACCTAACACTCTCTACCTAACCTCAACATTACTCACCATATTAAATGACTTAGTACGAGAGAGATATAACACAGCTGGAACCTGATCCAATGGTCGGCCCATGAATTCTAACTTCTGCCAATTCACGACATAGCGCAACCACTAGCCAATGTCTTCTTCGATGAGTTACTGCCTCACCTTCAACCCGCTGCACCCTACTGTTCACGACTTCCAACTAGAATCCCAGGTCACTGCTTGATTAGGGGCAGTCGCTAGTGAGCATCAGATCAATTTTTCAAGTATTGGTGTTTGTAGAGATTTTGCTTCACTAGCAAATTTATTAAATATCTTAATGCTAAACTGAAAGATAAATACAATTTTATAAATTAAACTAAAGCACCTCAATATTGTGTTTTGTTATAGCTTGCACTTTTCAGTATATATATATATATATATATATATATATATATATATATACGCACCTTCAATACTTTTTGATACCATTCTAACCCTAAATTAATTTAAGCACTTTAACTGTTAGTTAGGTGGTCAGCGGTGAAGCCAAGCAGAGGCAATTTGTTTTGCTCTAGGTGGATGTAAATCTGTTTTCATATTTTGGAATGGTGCTGATTAAGATTTGAACCGTCGACTCATTGACTGAAACGCCTCAATATCAACCTAGATCATCAGATAATCTCTCCAGAGACGCTTGAGCAGTTCGAGACCTGGCCATTGAAAGTGGATGACACGAAAAGCCTGGTTAGCTGTCTTTGATCATAGGTATCTGCGTTTTATCTACATCCCGTCTTAGGTGGTATACTGAGGTCAGCAATATTGAGGTTAGGCGTCGATCTACTGCTAGGTTAGGAGGGGATATCAATCGAAGAGATTGTGAAGTTACATCGATTGAAATGGTTAGGACATGTGTTACGCCTGCATCCCTTGCCTGGCCATCGCCTTCCTCGACGGGCAGGGTAATGTTAGCTGACATAGGATAAATGAGGCTGGAAAAGAGCCAGTGGTGGTCAAACCGAAACATGTCTTCATCAGTCAGTGAAATCCACAACAGTTAGTTTAAGCCACGTAGGAAGGTGTAGACTTCCTGGTCGGGTTCCTCGAGAAGGTAAACGCCAATGAATGCTGGAGACAATTGGTGATATGCCTCAAAATCGTTCTCAATGGCTGATGCAGATGCATCCGCCCCTTGTGACTTATCATACCCAATAAAACTATATTGTTCTCCGATATTACTATTGTGTTTGTCTCATATCTCTGTTTACTGTCTCTGTTTTGCGTTTCTTTTTACTTTCTTGTCTGGCTTTGTGTGCTGTGTGAAGTGAGGCCACTCGAACTGCTGCACATGGGTGCAAAGTTATGCATTGAAAGCAGTCAGTCAGTCTTCAGCAGTTTTAAAAGAAAGACTCCTATCGGTCCAATGACCTGATAGATCCAACTAGGGGAAATAATGTGATTTATCAAATACCATGTAATGACTTACATAGGTTATATTAGTAGACTGGGGTGAGTTAAGTTCTCGAAACATAGGAATTTACCTAAATCTAGAATGATGAACCCTGTCAGGTCAAATATTCTGGAAAAAAAGTTCAGCCGTTGAAATGCATTCACTAGGGTGGTATAGGATAAACGCATTTAAAAGTAATATAGTTACGAGTTAAGAGAAGTTAATCCCAGAATCAGCACTAAACACTTCCGATCGAAATGATGCGACACCAATCTTGGATATATGAAAAGTTCGAATAAAAAGACAGCAGGGAGTAAGGCAATATAAAGCAAGTTATGAAGTCGTCTGATGAGCACTGATGTGCTGACGAGCAATAAATTGTGCTCCAAAATGTCATCCACCTTATCACTATTTGTTACATCAAATAGACTAGTGGAACATGAAAATGCGTCGGTAGTTCAGCAGCAGGATACTTGCCAAACCCACCCCGGCAACGCACTTCTTTACCTCCATTTAACTGGTAATAAGCCCAATGTAGAGGGAAGTTTATGCGTGGGACTACTAACCCCCCCCCTCCATGTGTAAGAACAGCACTATACCACTGCTAGTGAAACTTCAAAGCCCAAGCTGGAAGTCCTATATTCCACTCGGAATGCAAAATAATGAGAAAAAATCCAATATAGAATTCTGTTCCACTCCAATGCCCGAAATTCTACTCTTACTTTTGATAGATATGCTGGTTTGTATGATATACTTTGATATTTCTGCACATCTCATCAATGATATAACACCTTTGTACAGAATGAAGCAAACAAACAAACGCGGTCTAATAGAGTGCTTGGTCCACGGGGCAAGAGCAATCTGCTCTGATGAATGTCTTCATGGAGGAAGAGCTTAATATTATTAAACAATTGCTGAGTGAGAAAAACTCATCGATAAGAAAATGAATCAAAAATCAAGACAGGCCGAAGTACTAACAGTTCCGAAAAAGGAAGGCCTTACTTATTCCTACAACTTCAGTTCCTCGGGGATAACATTAGTGAGATATATTAACACAATGCCACCTTAGGAATGCGGTAAAAAGAGCATTCAGTGCTGCTGAACTATGCTGTGTCTAAAAAACCACCAACTGACTAATTTCGCCTCTTCTATGTGTGCGTATCTACCAATTCGACTGCTCATGTGGAGTGAGCCACTTACATAGGCCGTAAAATTAGGTGTGTTTATCGTCGGATTTCCAAACATCATCCTGCTTGGTTAAGTAGAGCACAAACAAAATCCATTCAGAGCGATATTCTACCTCATCTTGTGGATACAGAACACAAGACTAATGTTAACAAAGTCATCTACCACATACTAACAAATCTTAGCTTCACCTTAAGAGTTCTTCTACTAAATATTGCTGAGGCCGTTGAGATCTACATTAAGAAACTTAACTTATGTATGCAAAAGAAGTTGGTTGGCTCAGACACTGTCCTTACCTTGGCCAACAAGGTTTTAATGATCCTCAATTTTTTGTTGTAGAGATTTCCTTGATTTTATTTGAGATTATATTTGCTATTACATTTTTATGCTTATTATAATTTACGCATCTTTCGTGAACTGTGGTAATTCCATCGATCTCAAAAAATCGATAGTATTTAAAATAACACCAATATTGTTAATGATGACTATTCTGGAATATTATGTGTATATAAAAATACATAAAGTTGTTTACAGGATTTCATCACAAGCTCACATTAGTTAGAGAACCATTGGAAAACCTGAAAGTACTGGAAAGCTGTTTCATTCCAGTTTGGGGACTCTTCTGTAGTACCCACCCACCGCCAGCATTCGAACTCGGGACCTTCTGGTTATAAGGTGAGCTAGTAGACCATTAAGCCACTGGGACCCAATCAAATGGCCCATGAATTCCAACTTCTGCCAATTCACGACATAGCTCAACTAGTCCTATTCAAGTAGGTTCTGGTGGGAAGTCATGAACAGTAGGGTACAGCGGAAGGTAGGGCATGAGGACAAACACTCGCCAAAGACATAGGCTAACGGTAGCATAATGTCGTGAATTGGTAGAAGTTAGGATTCATGGGCTGGGTATTAGACCGGGTCCCAGTGGCTTAATGGTCTACGAACTCGCTGGCCTTATTACCGGAAGGTTCTGGCTTCGAACTCTGAGGAGTCTCGAACTGGGACGAAACAACTATCCAGAAAAAAATCTCAGAGTAGAACTAATTTGAACAGCTCTAGCTCACACATCAAATATGACTGACCTACTCCATGTAAAAAAATCGTGTAAAAGTAATGCGGGGTATTTAGTAACTATATTAAAAAACAAATATGTACAAATATTGGGTATAAAAAAGAAAAACTCACGTTGCAAACTGTCCTTGTGATAATACTAAACCTTCAAGACGAATATGAAAGCGTACATCACATGAACCAACCATATTTTGAATTTTAAATTCTTTGAAATGAGCCTATGAAAATAAAATTGTTCATTCACTTAATAGCCTGTAATATTATTAATGCATAAGGATAAATTAATCCAAATGTTATGAGTTACGGAGTGATACTGGGCTGTCAATTCACCTAACTTGACTAGAATGACACAAAAGTCAGACTGGGGAAAACAGCGACAGGAACAACATTTATTACACAAATACATAGTATATTTTATATACAAACCTTCAGCAATTTAAGTCGTGAATAAAACAAATGTGATTGGTTGTCAGACCTCCGAGCATTAAGCCGTGAGAATAAACGAATCAAAACTATCCAATCAAGTTATCATTTCAGTGCACGCATAAATCATGACTTCACGGCTAAAAAAGAAGGTTGCCTGTCCTACCACACAACATAACATGAAATAATCAAGAAAAAAGAGATTTGTAGCTTTATCAAACAGGTTCCTTATGGTAAACAACTTGAATAAGCCTCTCCTTTCATTGGAGTGGAGTGTTACTCAACGACCAATTGCAATTCCATGCAGTTGGCAGTGTATGTGATACCACTTACTACCTGGGGCTGGTCAAACCTCGGTAGAAGAATTGGGGTTCGAACCAATGATCCCTTAGTTGGAAGTCAGGCGCCGAGACCAATCAGCCACAGCTCCACTTCTCCTCCTTTCATTCTCCTATGAGAAGCATGATATGTAATAATTATAAGCTAAGTCGGAGTAATAAAATATTCAGAAGTGTGAAGACGGCAATAAATGAGTACTTCTGAGCAGTTGTGAATAACTTTGAGCTACTAATTCTTCGCATCTTGAAGAGTCTAGTCACGCTGTGTTGAGAGCCGGCTGCTAGCCAAATTGGTAGACAGTAATTTACGTCAATGTTTACGCCCCCAATATTGGTCGTGAGAAAAAAACAAGAACAAAGACTGATTCAACAACCAATCACAGCAGACTTTGCGTAGGTGGATACATTTTGCAGATAGATAATCTGAACTTCAATAAACGGCCACAAAAAGATGAAAGATTAACGTTCAGCGAGAAACCACCGATCAGAAGACTGTCTTTGTTTGCTTACAATAATCTATAATAATGTACATGAAAATCTATAAATACTTGTTGATTTCCTGAATAAACGATCTGTTGCCTGGCCCTTATCTTCTGTCGTTACAACGCAACTTACACCTTCTAACGTGACCCACCACTCAGTGACTTCAAGGATCGGTGGTGGTGGATTGTTTCGGTATGCCCCCCAACCGTCGATCATTGACGAAGGCAAACGGCATGGACACCCAGACATCTTAGTCGATGGAACCTTAGAAACTTAACAACCGTTTCATCTTCCTTATCTAACACTATGCGTCTAGTTTCTATATTACTTTCTAATTAGTTTCGACTGGACTGGTATAGTTACTACCTTGACGATGATTTGATGAAGTCTTCTGAATAGAGAAGGTTTATTTCTGGAGGTTGGATAAATAAACATTAAGACTAAGAACAACTGCTATCATGTCGTAAATAGCTTCAACGAGTGTGTCGACTGAAGGTGAAGCTATATATCTGCAGGAAAAAGGCGTGATGTCAGCAAGGCATCTCCCTAGAACAACCAGTGGGTCAGATTTTCTGCCTTCCTAATCTGGAAAGGAGTGAGTAAAGACTGAATATTTCGGGTTAACCTACATTGATTCCATAAAGTCGTTTGTACAAGCAAAGCCTAAATAGACTGCATGTGACTGGTCTCACTCAAAAATATTTTATAGTGTCAGCAGTCAGTAAGGAGCGATTCCATTGGCATACCTCAACACATCAAATACACTGTGGGAGTTTGATACAGACAATGTGTTCCAACGGAATATTATTTTCACATATTCCCACAGTTCAATACTGCATTATATTATTATTACTATTATTTCCTTGGGTTCCGAGTGGAACATAGGGCTTCAACAACACATCTCCACTTTGTCCTATCTTCTGCCATCCTCTTCAGCTAGGTCCAGGATTGCCCAAACTCTCTCATCTCTTCCTCACACGATCCCCTCCATATCACACTGGCGCCGACCACCCACTCGTCGCTTCCCAACGGGATTCCACTCGAGCAATGGCCTGGCGTGCGATGTCATTCGGCGGCCTCCTCAATGTATACCTGATCCATCTCCACTTCCTCCTACATATTTGTTGCGCGATCGACTCTTGGTTTATTTGTTCCCAGCCAGAGTTTCTTGTTACTAATTCTTTCTGGCCATTTGATCTTCAGCATGAAACGAATGCAGCTGTTGACGGAAGTCTGCCACCTGTTGGAAATCCTTTTCGTGACACACTGGCCAAGTTTCTGACACGTATAGAAGGACCGACTTGAAATTGGTGTTGAACAATACTGCATTAGCAACAGAATACTATGTATCTATCTGAACATTCTTTTGTGATGATATTAGGTGGTTGGAGGCAATCGGCAGGAAGCCTTGGACCTAGGTTTCGTGCTAGTTGGCACTCGTCAGCAAGGCGTATCTGCAACCTTGAAGGAACTCATGTCCCTTCTGAGATTCGAACCCGCGTCACCCAGTGCTGCAGTCAGAGACGTTACCACTGAGCTATTCGGGCTCGCGATTGACCTCCTGTAGGACTGTAGTAGATATTTTGATTTGACACTATGAACTAGTGTTATGCGTCTAGTCCTCTCTTTGGTGAAGACTGAATTCTATCAGTCAGGTTGTAATGTGGCCACCATTCTAGGTAGCTCAGTGGTAACGTCTCTGACTGCAGCACTGGGTGACGCGGGTTCGAATCTCAGAAGGGACATGAGTTCCTTCAAGGTTGCAGATACGCCTTGCTGACGAGTGCCAACTAGCACGAAACCTAGGTCCAAGGCTTCCTGCCGATTGCCTCCAACCACCTAATATCATCACAAACTATGTACACCGTGATGGCGAGCTACCTAGAATGGTGGCCACATTACAACCTGACTGATAGAATTCAGTCTTCACCAAAGAGAGGACTAGAAGCATCACACTAGTTACTAGTGTCAAATCAAAATATCCACCACAGTCCTACAGGAGGTCAATCGCGAGCCCGAATAGCTCAGTGGTAACGTCTGTGACTGCAGCACTGGGTGACGCGGGTTCGAATCTCAGAAGGGACATGAGTTCCTTCAAGGTTGCAGATACGCCTTGCTGACGAGTGCCAACTAGCACGAAACCTAGGTCCAAGGCTTCCTGCCGATTGCCTCCAACCACCTAATATCATCACAAACTATGTACACCGTGATGGCGAGCTACCTAGAATGGTGGCCACATTACAACCTGACTGATAGAATTCAGTCTTCACCAAAGAGAGGACTAGACGCATAACACTAGTTCATAGTGTCAAATCAAAATATGAACATTCTTTTTCATGTTGTTTAATGTAAACCAAAATCACAAGCTCAGTGACTGGTTAAAGAATATAAACTGTATGTATATAAAAAGCAGTCTGATCAATGGAAAATATACTTTTACCTCCGTGTCTTGCCTTCTGCTGTTACAACATGAATGCAAATAATCAAAAATACCTCATATCTGTAGGTTACTCTATAAGGGTTGATAATCTAATCCCATTGGAATATAAAAAACTAGATGATATGTATAGAAGAACTATAGTTTTACCCTCTCGGTTCAACTGTGGTGAGAGATGGTTGCTAGCCAAATTGGTTGACAGTAATTGAGGTCAAAGGTCAAGATGGACAGGCGGATGCAGTTAACATATAGGTGAACTGACACAGCCACAAGAGATGCAAGGTTAACTTTGTGTGAGAAACAACCAATCAACAGACCGTATTTCCTACCAACATTAACCTACAATTATGTACATCAAAATCTATAAATACGTGTTGATTTTCCGTAATAAACGTTCTGTTGCCTGGCCCTTGTCTTCTGTTGTTACACAACCAACACAAAAGTTACAAAATAGGGACACACATGAAGAAACAAAACCAGTAAAGTGTAAGAGACTCATAAACACAAAGTTGAGGAGAAAAGAAAAGAAAACTACCTCGAATCCAAGTCTTTGAATAATACGAGCATATTTTCTAGCTGCCAGCCTTGCTTGTTCTTCACTTTTTGCTCCTGTACAAACCATTTTACCAGAGGAGAAAATCAGAGCAGTTGTTCGTGGCTCACGAATACGCATTATAACAGCAGCAAAACGCTTTGGATTGTATTCAGCATTTCTAGCACTGAGTGCAATATTCTTCAGGTTTAACTTACACCCCAAATAAACAGTGCACACAATATTCCTCAGAAATAAAAAATAAATAAGATATAAAATGATTCTATTATTTACACAATAAATATAAATACAAAATAACCAGATATGAAATAAATGACGATGTACCAAAAAGAACAAAGCCAAAATAGTCAAGTGTTATTTCTATCCGTTTTTTCACGTTCAAAATATATACTACCTTACATAGATCAAATCACCCATGATTGGAATGCATTATGTCACAATTAGCTCAATTAGCTAAGAAATCAGTTAGCTGGCCTAAAAAACCTGACGGCTCTAAGAGGTTTGATCCCCATCGGGATCGTGATTGAACGAACTGGGACAAAAAAACCTGCTTAAATTTTCCTAAGGTGTCAGTGATGCAGGCGTAGAATGCCCTCCCCCCACCAGTCCAGATTCGATTCCAGGTCGAATTACTCCCGAGCCTCACCTAACATTAGTTGCCAGGTGGTAAGCCCAGAAAATAGGGGAGATTGTGCATGGCAATAGGCTACCCCACCCCATTAAAGAATAAACACCACTAAAGCTTAGGACTTGAAGACTTATGTTCCACTTGAAATGTAAACGACATTCTGGAGTCACATATGAAGGACGCGCATGGTGGCGGTGCAGATCTGTCCCCTGGAGAGAGATTTTTCGACCTCGAGTATGCAGACGATATCATCTTACTGTGCGACACCATGCAGGCTGCCCAAGTCGCATTTAATCAGTTGGTGATTAGTGTCTGTAGGTATAGTATGTGCTTTGCACCGTCTAAGTGCAAGCTACTGTTACAAGATTGGCAGAAGCCTGCACCTGCACTCACTCTTGCAGGTGAACCAATTGAAGTTGTTGATAAACTCGTGCATCTGGGTAGTTGTGTGCGTGTGATGGATGAGCACAAATAACTTGCTGGTTATCTGAGGGAAACACCTTACTGCAGTTATATTCCTATTCATAAGCAGTACAACTGCGCCCAAAGACATGTAAGCGACTTACACTACGACGATAACTTCTTCGTTTAACCACTATAAGAACGACATAACTTTCGTCAACAAGCGGTTCTTCTGATTTCTCTTTCCGGGTCAGAGCAATACCAGTCGTCCCGTCATCTTCCGTTATATCTCGTTAGTCATATTTAATATTTGGTCACTTCATAACAGAGTGTAGACTGTCTAGCTTGAAAGCGTTAGTGATATGGTTCGAACTGCCATACTTCTGTGCAAAGTTCTACGTTGAAACTCAATCAATCAGTTAATGTGACACACCATTTAATCTGCAGATCACTACACTGCTTTACAAAGAAGATGCATATCCATTATTGAAACAAAGGGAACATTCATGTTAATCTAAAATGGTTACAATGTAATACATATGCATATATATATATATATATATAGTATCTTGTTACTACAAAATCTAGGTTATACATGAGTTCCGTAATACGCTGTCATAGAATTTCTTACTCCTGAAATCAGAACATATTAGTATCAATAAAAGGTTTAAACTACAAGAACACATTTCCTAAAAACTGAAAGTTAACATGAATTTTTCATTATCACTTGTGAATACAATGATTTCTTCATGGAGTACGTGAAATGGGAGCGCCAGTGTTGCGCGACAACAGAGACCGGCGGACAATTGCTTGAGACTGGTTACACACACCAGCCTGTTAGAAATGGTATTGTGGAGCTAGGTGCTGGACAGAAATAAACACGAGCAAACCAGACAGGCTTTAGACCAGATAGAGGGTGTATTGATCATGTATTCATCCTTCGACAGATTCTGGAACACAGATATATTCACTGGCGTTCAATAATTGCCATATTTCTTGACCTGAATGCAGAATTGCATTCCTTCGACAGAGAGGTACTATGGAGAGGTTTAATGGTGAAGGGAATGTCGAGAAAATACATTCCAGTGATCAAGGCACTCTACTCGAACACACGCAGCCAGGTAAGAGCCTACGGAGAGTTGTCATCTGAAGTGACGACAACCAGTAGTGTCAGTCAGGGATCCCCACTGTCCCCTTTTCTGTTTAATTTCATTGTAAATGTACTAATGCAATTGACCTTAATTGACGTCAGCGACTCAGGGATTGAACTGTTACCGGGGGACAGTCCTGTTGACTTAGAATAGGCGGATAAGACAATGGCAAAATAAAGAGTCTTCTGAAACCAGTCAGTCAGTCATTCGTTTTTACCATAGCTGAATTTAAGTGATGAACAATCTTTATATGGCAAAAATAATCATTAAAAAATTAATTTTAACTGAATAAACTTACTGTAGCTGGGGTACTGGAATCGCACCATCTCTGTCTTGTAATGGTGTGGATAAATTTATTGGTGTACACGGTGTACGACCAGGAATACTGATTGGGTTATCAGAGCCATGTAAACTGAGATTGACTGAATTCCCAGGGATGAGTTGTGGAGTTTTTTGCGTCAAATTTGAGTCACCATGTAAAGGTAAATTACCCAAAAGACTACCGATACTAGCTACACTACTGTGCTGATGAGATAAAGGACTGTAAATGAGAAGGAATAGACAAACATGAATCATGAGGGCGAAAATGTGCTTAATTGTACTTGCACGAGTAAGATGAATAAAATCCAGGAGTGCTAAAAACTACGAAAAGGAGTATAAGAAATACACCAGATTTCCATAAGACATTAGTTGTTGGGGCTTCTATAAGTAGGTTTCGTACTTATTGTCACTCAGTAGGAAAATATACACAGTCTTCAGCGGATTAATTCCTTCCTAGAAATTAGGAACTTTTGCTCACTTATTACTGAAGTCGAAGGTTTTCTCTCCACTAAGCTACTCGGTTGGCTATTATTAGGTTTTAATTTATGAGATTTTAGCATTGGGACTTAATTATTAATTATTATTCCTTTGGGTTTCAACAATGTATCTCCATTTTTGTCTATTTCCTGCTGTCCTCTTCAACTGGGTCCACGATTACCCATGATCTCTCATCTCCTCCTCGTACAATCTTCTCTGTCACCCTCGAACAGACGACCCACTCGTCAGATTCCACTCGAGGACCTGATACGCGATGTCATTCGACGGTCTCCTCTGCGGGTGCTCAATCTATCTCCATTTCCTCTCACATATTAGTTGAACGATCAGTTCTTGCTTAGTTCGTTCCCATAGTTCCTTGTTACTGATTCCTTCTAGCCATTTGATCTTCAATATGGAGCCGGAGAAGGCAGATTTTGATAAAAGTCTTCAGTAGCCTGTTGGGAATGCTTTTCATAACGCGTAGTGCAAGTTTCTCACCCATATAGAAGAACTAATTTGACATTTGTGTTGCAAATCCGAATATTGTTCTTTTCGCGCTGGGGAGGAGTGCAGAAGATTCCCAAACTGATTTCAGGTTGATGAAGGCGTATCTTGCCTTTCCGATTCTGGTTGGCTTTGACATTTTTATCCGTCCCAACTGTCTGTCGTTGAAACGATGCTTTCTAGCTAAGTGAAGGAAGTAACCTCTTTCAAACTAATCCCATCGACGGTGATTGGTGCTGATTGTTGTTGCTGTTGTTCGGTCGGGACTTAATTATTATATATTATTACCAAAACGCAAACCTAGTAAGTTATGAGCACTAAGAAATGAGCCACACAAAAATAATAGAACAATATACAAAGAAAATAGGCAGTTATCATGAACGACATATGGAGAAAAACAGTGAAAATTTAGTTGTCTACCTTAGGACGTCAGACAACTGTCAGTTAGCACATATGACGTGTATACTAAAGATGGATCTGTCGGACTGGTTCAGATCGCTCGCTATTCAAACGGAAATCAGAGAAAGGCAACGTTTACCGAAGTCAAGTCTAAGGACTTCGTGTTTGCTACTATGTAACTCCTAAAAGAAGTTTGAAAGAACAAAATGCAACATTGTGTTTCGGATATAGATAGAGTTATACTGAACAGACAGTTGTACGATAGGTTCTTCGAAATATACGCCTACCTTTAGGATGAGAATAAACATTTTTGTACTTACATATGAAATCCAACTCTATAAACTGGAAAGTATAGTAGTGACAATTAGGAATGTTTAGTGAAATCACTTTCACTGTACTTTTACTCATTAGGTTTCAATTACCTTGGATATTTTAAAGACATTTGCTGTCCTGAGAATTTAATGGGCTTAGATAGAGTACACAAACATAGACAAGTCTGATAAATGAATATATATATATATATATATATATATATATATGGCACATTTTTGCGTCTTGTATAAGATTGTCACACTAATAAATAAAATAGCCAAGTGTTGACCATATCACTTTTATAGTAAGTGATATTAATCGTGTTAGGTCAGCAGCTGACAACTGATCAGCATGAGGACAAAACACCTACTTAGTATTTACAATATACTCTAACTCCAGTGGTGTCCACTTATCCGATTACGCAGCAAAGAATGAAAGCACATCATAACATTGCTCATCCTACATAAAAGTAAGGCGTGATGGTCGAGAGTAAACATGGGAAAGTTGTGAGCTTTGAATCATACCTGTCTTTATCGAAAATCTTAAATACGGTAGAAACAGAATGTCATGTGGTTGAATGAGTTGAACACTAAGGGAAGCGAAACAGTCATTGTTTGTAACTTTGCATTACAATAGCCTAAATGTAGGTTATATATACCCATCTAAGTACGTCGGTGGTACAGTGGTAGAATGCTCGATCAACCACCCATGTAGTTCGGGAATCGACCCACAGCTGACGCACTCTTAAACCTCGCCAAGCCGGTAAAAAAGGACGGTTGTTTACGAGACTAGTAACCCCACACCGTAGAAACAGACGCCACTGCTAATCGAAACTTTAAAGCTATAGCTTGGAGCCCTACTTTCCAGTAGGAGCGTAAAGGAATACAATAAAATAACAATACACCCACCTAACGCCTGTCTAGACTAGTAATTTTAGCTTAAGCGTACTTCTATTAGAACTCTGTCCGTTGCCTCCATTAGTACACAGAAGGGAAGCATGACCATGAGTCTTGAAATTCCGTACAAGGTTCTTAGTGAATGATATAAAAGTAATAACAATTTTGTAAAAGTATCCAGTTATCGTCACCAAGATTTTGAATATTTAACTCCACCTTGATATTTTTATTGTTTTATATTCCTTTTCTGTCTTTCTCTTTCATTTTACTTTAAATTTAAAACAATTAGTCCGTTATATAAATTTGGATGGTATTATTAGGTGATCTCAGTGTACTTTAAGTGCACTTCTGTCCACTTTCTCTTTGAGCACTGTTTAAAACTATGTTAATTTAAGCTGTTGCAATTTTGTGAGTCAACTGTGGCCTAGAATGCACATATACGAAGTATACCAAGAGTTAACAGAATTGAGTGAGGAACAAGGATGCAATTTGTGCTTCCCAACTTTAAAGGTAAGATGTAACTTAAGTATAAAATGATTTATAGCTGAAAGCTGAACCACAGCATCACATCGGTGATAACTTTTATTTCCACTTATATTAATTCATGTACTATTTTGAAATTTGATTGAATTGGATGTTGATTTATATAAAAGACGTGATTAAAAGAGAAAGATTGAAATCTCTATGGTGAATAATACTCAGATTAGGCGTAGTGTCATTTAAGGTGAGTAGGTCAATCGATGAGGTTTTGAAGCCGGAACGGTTGAGTTGGCTAGGACATATATTGCGCATAACAAGCCAACGCCTTCAACGACGAGCACTGTTAGGTGGGAAAAGAGTTAAGGGTTGGTTAAACCAAAACCTGACATCAGTCCATGAAGTCTCTGGCTGTTGGTTTGAGGCATGTAGGGAAGTGTAGAATACTCACTTGGGGTCTTCGGAGTGCTAATAATCAATCGCCGGAGACGATTGGTGAAATGGCTCAAAATCTTGCTCAATTATGCAGATGCATTCAGCTTCTGTGATCCCCGTCATGTTTTCCAATATCCCTATCATTCTCCCAGAAACTTCTGCTTCTCATTATCTTTTAATCTATTTTTTCCTTGTCTACCTTTGTATGCTCCATGGAGTGTAGCAACTTGAACTGCTACACTTCTGTGCAAAACCAGTCAGTCAGAAATCTTTATAGGATTAGGTGTACCTAATTCATCAGTATACTATCCTGTTATTGTGACAGATTTTCAGCACTGCTCTCAAGAGAACAGATATTTAATGCATGTAACTGAACATAAATTGTTTATTTAATACATCATTAACATAGAGATCACACTCAAACGCATATGCAATGATACCATAGTCTGTGCTACATTAATTCTCTTCCAGGCTGCACCATATTATGAAAAAAACTTGTTAAAACGAGATGTGACCCACACTTGGATTGCAATAAATCTAAATTTTACATATGATCCACTAATTTACATCTACATTACACTTTAACTTTATATAGATAGACAGTAGATAGTGATGATAACTTACTCCCGTACTATATTTTTAGAAGGACAGGCTATTAAATAAGTGAAATCTCAAAATACTGGCCACCTTTTTGAAGAAAACACAAAGAAACTATTTTTCTCAAGTTGGAACACTAGACTTCACTGAAGAAACCATTAGATTCTTTTACTTCTATCTTTTCCAGGATACTAAGCATATTCACTGATTCTCAGTCAAATACTCCCAGCATAGAACATGCTTTCACATCGTAATATCACTCCATTTGTTTTTGATGTTTCGAAGTTTGAGGACCTGAAGTTATGCACTTGTGCTCTGAATTCTATATTGATTCATAAGTCAGTGAAGTTCTAGAGAAAATTCAATGTCACATGAGTAAGTGTTATCATGCTTCGCAGTATACTACACTAAAATATAATCGGTTGCTAGACAATTTTCATTTCACTTTGTGCTTTAGTGTCAACAATCTACAAGCATCTGGAACTCTCACTAAAAGCTCATGTGCTTAACAGGAAAACAAGGGAAAAACAGGACCGAAATAATAAATTTACTGTCATTTCGCAAGGCTGCGGATGACAAAATGGCCTAGAAATTATGCTTCACTATATTTACGATCTAGTACGATCAAATGAGTTCCAGACCACTAAAATAGTCACTGGATTTGGATACGAATATTCACCATAAGACATGATCAGTAGATACAACACTAGCAAATATAAAGAATTCAGTCGCGCTCAGCAGTTACAGACCCTGATCAACATACAAATGACAAATTGCATATAATCACTGGAAAATGCAGCGGGATACTTAATTTAAAACTATTTACTTGTAACACCTATGTGTCTATTCTTCATCACGCACGTGTTAAGACTAAATTTGTTGGATTTCTGCGTTTTTAAACCTGACCTATCCCTCAAATCACGAAAGATAACGTAACTCCAAATGAAATCAGACGTTTCGAACACTTACATAACATTGATATACATTAATAAATCATGATGAAACCGAAATGCAAAATCAGGACGTTTAGACTTGAACTGAACTAGTGGCCACTAGCAGTTAGATATACTCGATAACCGGACGTATGAAGTCAGGTATGACCTTAATTACTCCTCACAGGAGCATCTAATGTACATTGTACAGAAAGAATAATCACAAGGAGGAAAGGTCTGTGTATGACTGACGTTAATGCGGCTACTTCCATTGGGGGAAAATAATGCGTTCACACCTTCAGGATAACTCTAACACCCGGGACAAATTAGGGTTATGCTTTATAAAATATCTCAATACTGAAATTTAGTTTATTTCTATGAATAAGCACTTGGAAAATCGATTTTCGTAGATCTCATCCTCTTTCTCCATTTGTTGTAAGGGTAGTAGGACTTCTTAAATGTCTGGGACAGGTGCTGAATTCTTCGAGCGTCAATGAAAATAGCATCCAAATCTACCAACTCACCTATGAATAGATCATGTTGACTAAATGATCCTGTGAAGCGCAAAGTAATTTAGCTTATCTAATGCCCTGCAACGACTGACGTTAGGCAGGTCAAAGAGGCTTAAGTCAATTAGATCAACGGGTCACAAAAACTTAGCGAAATGCAGACTAGTAGACCTTAATCTGAAAACAAAACCATAAAAAGCTAGGCTGCAGCACTACGTGCAGTTACACACAACTACACGATAATATTATCGTATACGCACATGGGACGAAGTAACCATCTTAAAATCGATCGCATATAAAAGAGCAGAGAGATGGACTGAAAACTAAGGAACCACTTGTAGAAAGTACCGAAAACATATGCAACATGAATGATTTGACACTCTTCTCGGACACCTGGAAAATTCTACCACGTGATACCCCAACGACAAATAGAAATGGAGGAGAACCCGAAAATCCGAGTGTAATAAGACACATACAATTACACAGATCAAGCACGCAGGGTAGAGCGGAGAAGCAGAATACGACTTGAGAAAAAGCACTTTATAATTGACACTGAATTACGCCAACAGAAGTCCAAAAATTATATACATGTAGGTACAAAGAGCCAGGCTATAACAGTTCAGCGTCCACCGGTTTTTGAACTGACGCTTTCTTTCAAATTTGAACCACTACACCGAGGTTAGAAAACGTGTTGTTGCGATTGGTTTGCAAATTTGGGCAATGAACTGTGTTCAGAATGCCAGCCAATATATAGCACTATTCTACTGTGAAATACTCGATGAACATGTCAACAAATGAAAGTGGAAATACATTTATATACATGTAAAGTGCCTAATATTTACTAGGCCCCTAACACTTACTTCATTATATGACGTTCAAAATCAAGTGGTTATATGTGTGAAATATTATATTAGTAGTAATGGCATAAAATTCCAAAAGCAATCCACAAAATAAAGTCAACTGGACGATTCTAGATCATCCTTCAAATTCGCAACGCAGCCACTTGTCTGATATCTCAGGGTGCTTCAATGTTCAATATATTCATTTTAACATTGTGTTAGGCTGTTAATTTTGTATCATCTCCTTCGCGATGCTGGAAAAAACTGTGTATCTTTGGTCGATCTCTTTATTGAAGATCTATCCACTCTCCTATTGTAACTCTGTATGTCCTATCCTTCACATTTCAAGTGGAAGACCCTCGTTCGTTAAGCGGTCAAGGTTTACAAGTAAGCCTAACAATTAATTTAGACTGATTACATAAATGGAATATAAGACGTGGCATAAAGATTTTTGAACGACTACCGGACCCTGTGAAATAATGAAGGATAACACTCGCTGTGGGCAGACGACAAACTATCCCGACCAGGCTTAATTTCCTACTAGCGACCACTAGTTCACAGAGCACGTTCAGGTAGAACCATTGGTAGGCATCAGGGATGATAGTATTTTTCTTAGGTACTAAAGAACAGCTAATGAAGAGTGACTGTTCTATCCGACACCACCATGATAAAGTCAAATTTGAACAGATGAGAGAAGCTCAGGAGTCGGTGTGTTGGCCACAAGAATACCTTTCATCAACCTCGAACAGGGTTAGGAAAAGCGTCAAGGGTACTGTCAAGAAGTTTCTGAGCGATTCCGTCCCTACAATTCATATATAGACCAAAATAAAACATTGATTTTGTAGGGCCTCTGTGACATGGTATTCTGGGACCACTCGAACGTTGAAAGTAAATGAGAAATTCAGAAGGATAGAACGAGTAGCCAAGTAGGAACTGTATCTTCCCTATGATTTGTAGGGCTTTCTTTATCATTTGAACGATGAATATAATTCCGGGTGTTCGACTAGGTTTCATGCTTCAAAAAAGACATTTAAAATCAGAATTAGTCTTCCGCAATAATACCAGCTATTAGCAGGCTATTTGGGTAGCTATTTTGATAGGGAAGTCGGTTTTCAGTGCTGTAAAGAGTAGCGTTGTTGACACAACCTTGCTGTTCCTTCTAACTGACGCACATTGACTCTACTTTTTGACGACTGAATGTTGTCAGACCTTTCAAACCCTGACAGTGCGAACAAGGTAATCGGACATGCGTTGACGAAATGTAAAAGCTCAAAATACAGTTCCTCAAAATGTTGAAGGTACGATACATTAGTTTTAAACACGTTCGCCCAAGGTTATAAGCATAAAAATGTTATAACTTAGTTTGTGCTAACCTCCTAATGAACAAACACAGTCTGTGACTCTCTGGATGATTACATGAGCAATGGTTAGCAGTGAGCTTAAGGCTTTGGTTTATATATGGAAACAGTTATATATTTAGGAATAATAACTAATGTGTGCGGATAAGCGGAGGGTAGGTCAGTTATTTTATTTATTCTTTGCTATTATTTAAATAGATATGGTCATATGTTCCCCACAAACTAAAGACAAAATGACAGCAACCATATAATTTAACCGTAAATCCTGTGATTTAAATGTGCAATTTAAATAATAATTATCCATGTTCTAATTGGAACTCGTACTTTTCGAACGAGTCCTTAGAGGCAATTCCTAACAACTTTTATCAAAATATTAACTCAATTCATGACGTCATTGCACCTGAGAAGATTCTTAGCTTCAGATTCCCCCAAAGCGATTATATTCCGACATCGTTTATTTTTATTTTTTATTTATTTTTTATTACAGCTTGATGCCACACCGCATTTTCAGTACAAGTATGGCATTTTCAGCATGGATATCGGTAGCCCAAATTTCGCAGGCCGACCATAGATATCGGGTGTGCGTCGGCAGGGGATCGAACCCCGGACCATGTGCATGGTCGGCGAGAGTACTAACCACTGTGCCACCGACGCACTCAATAAAATACTACAGATATCATGACTTATCATCACTAATTGCTATTAAGTCCCTTCTCAATAGAATTGAAGAGTTGATAAATATAGGCCTCAGAAACAAAGAAATGCGAGCCACTCAGGCACCGCATAACTCAGGAGAAATAGCCAAACTTTTCAAAAGTAGGTTGACGAACTCCAAGACAGCTTATCCTAAAATATTATACTTAGACGGGATTGCTTACGAAAATACTGAAGTGATATGTGAACTGTTTAGCAAGCACTTCGCCAGATTATACACCTTAGAGAACGATGAGGTCGTGGATTTCCCACGTAAAACAGACGAATGTTTAAGTGACATACTTTTCACCCCACACGAGATCGATAAAGTTGTCAAAAATCTTAAGTTTAGTAACACTATTGGTCCAGATGGTAGATCTTCCATTCTGCTGAAAAACGGTGGTAGCGACATGAATTTACTCCTGCTCAAGTTATACTCAATTTCACTAAGCGATGGGACATACCCCACCTGCTGGAAGAAGTCTTATATTGTACCTATCCATAAATGTGGGCCTATAGCTGATATCAACAACTACCGCCCCACCAACATCACGTCTGTAGTTTCACGTGTAATGGAAAAGATAGTAAAGACTCAAATCATTCAGTACTTGCTGTCAAATGACCTACTATCCCCATCCCAATACGGTTTCTTAAGTAGAAGGTCGTGTATTACTTGCCACTGAGATTATTTTGACTACACTACACAATGCATTGATAATGGGCATTCGGTAACAACATTATTTCTCGACGGTAGCAAGGCCTTCGATAAAGTCCCACATATCGGACTCATAACAAAACTCCAATCCTACGGAATAACCGGGAAACTTCTCAAATGGATAAATTCTTTTCTCACAGAAAGAGAGCAATTAGTCAAAATCAACCACCAGCTGTCTTCATCAAAGCCGATAACTAGTGGTGTAATACAGGGTAGCGTTCTTGGCCCTATTCTATTCCTCTTATTTATAAATGACAGTCTCTGTGATCAAGTAGGGCAAGCCATACCTCTTTGCAGATGATCTCAAGATAGTATATGATTATGGGTACGATGATATGAGCGTCGAAAGCAAAATCCAACATGACTTAAATAATCTAGGCGATTGGAGCGAAAAGTGGCAACTGACTTTCAACCCTGAATATGGAGCACTGGGTATCTGTCCGGAGAGGTTTGTTTATTCAGGGCTCTGTAATTGCTAGCGCTATTCTTCTTGGGTACCAAATGCAACGGTGAAGCCCAATGACTATTTGAGGGTTATGTAATCCCCAATTAACCTCGCCTCTTTGACTCGCTTGCTAGTTTTCTGGCCGCTCCCAAGCTTAGGTAAAGAGGGAGGGTTGGGCATAGGGCTAGCAACCCTACACCACTAAATATATCAAACTGCTAGAGAAATTTCAACACACAAAAATACATTAAAAATACAAAAACTTCAAATAAAAATCTTATTCTTCGCTGGTATTGGAGAGGCGAAATGACACAGGCTGGTGGAAGCCTTCGGAAAGCCAGCCAGCCAATGTGTCTTCTCTCGTTGAAAGCAAGAATAAGAATATGGACGCAGAATATCGGTACAATGCATGAAACTGGGAAGGCTGCCCAAGTAGCCGAAGAAATGCGGAGATATGGTGTAGAAGTGCTTAATATCTGCGGGAGCAGATGGAATGGATGTGGATTACCAAAATTGTCGACTGAAGAGTCATTTATCTACTCTACAGCCACGAACGCCCTGAGGGAGTGGCTATCATGATGTCACCAGTGGCAGCCAAAGCTCTAATGCAGTGCAGTGGGAACCAATTTCATCCAGGATCATGACAGCAAGACTCAAATCCAAGGGAAGGAAGGTAACAATTATCCAATGCTACGCACAGTGCTACAAACAACGCAGAAGAAGAAAAGAAGGAAAATTTTTGCAGACAACTAAAAACAGTGACGGACAACACCCCAAATGGTGACATCAAAATCCTTATGGGTGATACGAACGTCAAACTGGAGGCAGATAATACAGGAAGAGAATACAACATGGGTCGAGAGGCACTTAGAGAAATGAATGAGAGTGGAGAACTATTCGTGGACTTCTGCGCTTTTAATGATTTGGTGATTGGAGGCAGCGTGCTCAAGGACAAGGATATATACAAAGAAACATGTGTTTCGCCTGAAGGACAAACCACGAACCAGATAGATTTCATCTCAATATCAAGGAGGTGGAGACGCAGCCTGCCGGATACGAAGTCGAGAAGGAGAGCAGATGTGGGCTTAGACGATCATTTAGTTCTAGGAACCTTCAAGATGAATCTGAAATTCATGAAAACAACTGGAGATAGACAGCAATTCAAGTTCAACATTCAGGAACTGAAGGAGAAAACTTCTAGAGATACTTTCACTACAGATCAGTGTGAAGTCGGAGAAACTATGTGGCATTGTGGTGAGAGCTATCTACTAGCCAAATTGGTAGACAGTAATTTACGTCAATATTTCAATGTCGTGAGAAATAACCAATCGGAAGACTGTGTTTGTTTGTTTACATATCCATAGTAATGTACATGAAATCATATATAAATATGCGTTGATTTCCTTAATAAATGATCTGTTGCCTGACTCTTGCCTTCTGTCGTTACAGCATCACTGAGGACACCTGCATGAAGGAACATTGGAACTCTCTGAAGTTGATGCTTAAGGAAACGTGTACAACCGTTCCAGAGATAAAAGGGACACGACGAGTAATGGCTGGAGAGGCGGATGGTGAAAGAGAGGACTTAATGCAAAGATGGACAATATATCAAATAACCAAGTCTCCATCCGGGAGGAGATCAACCCAGATGATGAAACCAATAAAAGATGTTTAATGGAACCTGATACCCAAGGAGGATAAGCAAATAAAACAACGGGCTGATCACTTTAAAGCCCCCTTGAATCGTCCATCACCTGCAACTCGCCCAGGAATACCGCCAACAGCATGCTAGTGGATACTGATCCTCCAACGAATACGGAAATCCTGAATGCGATCAAGTTACTGAAGTCCAGGAAGGCAGCACGACCAGATGGAATTAACCCCGAAGCACTGAAAACGGACCAGAGGCTGCAGCAGATGTTCTCATGCCATTATTACAAAAGGTTTGGAGGGAAAAGGAGGTGCCTGCTGACTGGAAGAAGGGATACCTCGTCAAGCTGCCAAAGAAGGGCGATCTAGGCCTGTGCAAGGATTAGCCTGGAATAATGCTCTTGCCCATGCCAAGTAAAATACAAAGTCGCATCATCCTAGAGAGAATAAAAGAACTCCGCCCTGCTAGAACAAGCTAGATTCAGGAAAGGCAAATCATGTGCTGATCGAATTGCAACTCTATACATCATTATCAGAAAACAAAACATAGAATGGCAGTCAAACCTCTCTCAACCTCAAATTCATCGACTTCGGAAAGGCCTTCGACTGACAGCGTCGACGGAGAAATAATTTGGAAACTAATTCAACACCATGGTGTGCGGTGCCCAAGTCTTTATCATCTTCATTTAACGGCTGTCTATATCACAAATCCACCTGTCAGGTGATCCACAACAGAAAACTCGGTAAGGCGTTCGAAGTGAATAAGAGAAAGTTACCTGTTATCACTGATGATATTCTCAATTGTGGTGGATTGGATTATGCGTCAGACTGTTGGGGTGAGGAGTCAGGAATACGCTGGACGACCGATAAGAAGACTCTAGAAGATCTGGATTTCTCAGATGATATATATCTAATGTCACACAAAACCGAAGACTTGCAGGTGAAAACCAAAAAAATGGCTGAAGAGGCAGCGAAAAGAGGACTACAGGTGAAGACAGAGAAGACGGAGTTGATGAAGATAACCAGTCAACAGCAACAATAACCAGCACCAATCACCATCAACGGAAACGATTTAACAAAGGTTGCGTCCTGCCTTTACTAATCCACCCAGGAAGCATGGTTTCAACCATAGGCAGTCGGGACGGATGAAGATGTTAACACCATCCAACCAGAATCGGAAAGGCAGGATACGCCTTCATCAGTCTGAAATCAGTTGGAAAATCTTCTGCACACACTCAACGCGTGTGAAGTCAGTTCTTCTATATGGGTCAGAAACTTGCACTGCGTGTCACGAAAAGCATTTCCAACAGGTTGTGGACTTTCATCAACAGCTGCCTTCTATGGTTCCTCGCTAAAGATCAAATGACCGGAAAGAACTGGCAACAAACCGCCCAAGAGCTCATTGTTCAGCAAATATGCAAGGGAAAGTGGGGATGTACAGGTCATACGGTGAGGATACAGTTGAATGACATGGCGCGTCAGCCTATCATTCGAGTGGAACCCGAATGGGAAGGAACTAGTGAATCGCTCGAGGGTGATATGGAGGAGAACATGCGAGGGGGAGATGAGAGATTATAAGCAATCGTGGGCACAGCTGAAAAGGACAGCAGAAACAGGACAAAGTGGAGGGGTTTTCGCTGAGGCCCTATAATCCACTCAGATTTGATTATTCTAACGTTTTATTTTACTTCTTTTGTGCATGTACAAGGCTTGGTTTATCATATACTCGGTGTGTTGGCCTATCGGTTGCTGGCGATGTCAAGGAACCCGTGAGTTCTTGGGCTTTTCTCAATTTTAGGTTATACGTGTAGCATTTTATTGATGGATATTGCTCAGTGATGTATTTCAATATTGCTTTTTCTACGGAATTATATTTATACAGTTGCGAGACAGATGGATACTTATTGACAAAGCCTTTTTAGTTTATTGCAGGTAGGCAATGCGAGTGAAAGCATTGCACACGTCAGTGGAATTTTCGGTGAAGTAATGCTGGGAAGGCGTTTCTTTAGCTGGGAGGAATTTGAGAATTCATTATGAGAATTTCAAAAAGTGAGGAAGTCATTTAATGCTAATAATGTAGTTGTCCTGCACTCACTATGTGGTTGCCGCAGATTACGCGGGAGAAGTAATCGCACAAATGGACCATGTTCTTAATGTGTAAATTAACTACTTTCGTATTACAATAAAAATAAACTTTTCGTATTAACATTGTTGTCGTTCTGTTCGTGTGTTCGCGTTGGGAGTACGGGATGCTAGACCGGCTTATATTATTAACACTATCCATCGATAAAAGTGGTGGATTATAAGTACTTCATTCAAGTCTAAAAATCTGCCTAGAAGTACGCGATTACGTCTCCCAGTCATAGATAAACCTGTAGGGACTAATGACAAAAATACCTAACTTCAGTATTTGAAAAATAAGAATACAACTTAGGCCCTGCAGTTGAGTTCGATTTCGTATGAAGTTAAGTATAATCACAAGTAGTGTATTACTATTATTTCACTTAAAGCGTGATGTCAATCCATATGCCTACGGGTGTTAACATATAGTGTAAAATGAAGTCTACACGAGACGGGTAATTTAATAGGTTGAGCTGTAGCAATATTAGTACGATTTCACTTACGTTGAATTATGCCTACAATTACTTTCTCAGGTCTCATTGATAGGTCAGGCCTCCATCTCGTCATAATGACAAATTTAGTTTCACTGAGATAGAATAAGAAAAGTATGATAAGCAGGATGTCAAATATATTTAATGAAAAATAATAAGCGAATGTCTTTACACAATTGTTTTTCGTAATTACTTCGGGGATGCGTAATTGCTGTGACCAGGTTGACTGACTTCACCGAACATCTGCAAGTAAGTGAATAAATTGTAATTTTTAAATCGTTGAAGTTAGAAACAAGTAATGTAAAAGTGAAACGCTTTACATTTTCCTACCTTTGCTGAAAAAGATTCATTCTCCTTTCTCATTCTTTGGTCATGACAGCATTCTTCTGCGGTTTTCACTTTCACACACATTGTTCCTCTTCTAAAGTAAAGCACCAAGCAAATAATAATTTAATATGTCGTATAAACGGGTGTTTACAAGGAATGCATGACATCTCTACAGGCACAATAAGTTAGGTTATGAATTGCAATCACCTCAGCGATTTTAACTAGAAACTTCTTCGAAATGGATATGATCATCAGGAAATTCAGCAGATTGTCTCATTCATCGCATGCTCTCTTCAATGTGTAATGGAATATTTCAGTCATCACGGATGATGGTAAAAAAGTGTTTGGCATCCTCTAAACGTGTATTTAACTTGTGTCTGCGGGCTAGTTCTCCTTCAAATGTCTCGTTATCATAAAATAACTGCTATGAAAACAACCGTTGCCTATAGATAATTTTCAACCTTAATATCCCAAAAAACTAGCAAATAACAAACCATTACGGCTCTAAAACGCAAATAATAGTCTTTCTATGCTAAATTTCTTATATACGATGAGTTCTTGAAGTAATACGTCCTCTAGGATATCATGGCAATTTTATCCATTGATTTTTTTTCCTTCACGTTCCCAGTGGAACATGGGGCTTCAAGCTAGTGGCTTGAAGTTTCTGTAGCAGTGTTTATTTTACAGGATGGGGTTGCTAGCCTCATGCCCAACCTTTCCTCTTCACCAGCATTATTTCTGGCTTAGCGAGGTAAAAGAGTGCGTCGGCCGGGGATCGAGCCCCGGACCATGTGCACGGTCGGCGAGCGTCCTAACCGCTATGCCACCGACGCACCCATTATCCATTAATACGAACACAATACTGGAAAATGTTGCTTTTTCGGCTATAGAAGCCTGGAACCAGTCATATATAATCTTCTTTCACAAAAATAAACGCTTATAACGCCTCTATAGGCGTGAACACGATAACCCATACAGTGCGCGATGATATATCACGATAACGTTTATCATCACCCACAATTTCACCTAAGCTTGTTCGACACTAGTGTCCGTGTTGACCAACATAGTAACTTTTGCTGTCGCTAAGTACGAGCCAGTTGTTTTTGATGCAATAACCTGAGAATCCATGTTTCAGAAGTTGAACCTTAAGCCACGGGGAAGTTAGTGCAAATGAAGTCAATTTGGTTTTCCCTCACTGCCTTGGTGGTATTGGATGTTGGACGACCTTAGGAAACCTTGACGAATGGTTGACCTTGGCGGCTATGGAAAGGTATGACTATTTACTGAAATTCTTGATAATCGGGAATGCGGCCGCTGGTAAAACGTGTCTGATGAGATGGTTTATAGACGGAAAGCTCAAACAAGATCCACCGCACACCATAGGTGTGGAGTTTGGGACAAAAATACTCAGAGTTGATTCAAAGTCTGTAAAGTTGCAGATATGGGATACAGCTGGTTTGTAATAATTCATAAGTTTAACATTTCCTAGGTCAAGAACGGTTTCAGTGTATAACACGTTCTTACTACCGTGGTGCAGCATGTGCCCTGGTGGTGTATGACATTACTGATAGGGAATCATTCAATGCTGTCAATACTTGGATTTCGTCTGTTAGGGACTTAGCTCTGCCAAATTTGACTATTATATTGATTGGTAATAAAGTTGATTTGGAGGCCAGTGGGAGGGAAGTAAGTAGTCTTTCGTAAATTTGATCCTACAAAATTTTTCTTGAAACTGATACACCAGACAAATTTTTGAGACACTATAGTGGTACTAGCAACGGAGGATTGAAGTACTGACAATGATTGTCTTGTCGTCTGATTTATGTTATATAATAGTTTGAATATTTAAGGTCTGTGGTAACGGTCATTCTAATCAACCAAAAAGAAGGAACAGTCTAGAGGAAATATCACGGGTTTCCCATTTAATTCGCCTTTAAAAAATTATTTTCCCCTTCAGGAATATCTCCCCATTTTTCATCATTTTTCCAAGGATGTTCCAGTTTTATCTGCTTCACTGTACACTTCAAACGTCATACCTAATGGCAAATGAATACGTGTCGATACCCAACAATGCGCTTTAGAACATTTTGAAAAACCTCTAATGTCTTTAACACCCGTGAGGTTTGGAAAACTCACTAAAGTTTCTTCAATAGCACTGCTACCGATACTTTGCTTTTCAAGGGATACACAAAATTTCAGTCGAGATTTTTTTCGAATATCAGTTTTATGAAACCAGTTGTCTTTCATTTATGGTGTAGTTGTCTTCCGAACATATATTCAGGAAATACTGATTGTTGTTTGTGGAACTCTAATTTAGAGGAAGTAATGCTTTTAGATAGGTTATCTGTATATTGACTGAGGTAATGTAGACCGTTATGTCTTATGCTAGCAGTTGTACCGTCTCTATATCGTAACTAGTGATGTGACATAAGGTGAAGAATTATGTACGCGTTTTTGTTCACGTCAAAACAGTTTAAGAATAGGACTGAATTTTGTCACCAATGGACTTCGGTGGACTGTTTTCCAATGTCTTCAAATACTACAATTATTCTACTATCTGAAATTCTTGGCATACTAGCTAAAAGTATAGTTCGAAGCTGAAACCAGTAAACGTTATGCCTTGGCAGTTATTCACATTTTTCATGAGCACATTGGCAAATTTTTCTGTCAATATTTCCTTTTCAGTTTCTGTTTATGCAAATTACTCTACAATTGACTATCATTACGGTTTAAATTATGTAGGTTTCTGAAATGGAAGGAAAGCAGTGTGCTATTGACAATGGAGCTCAAACATTCCTAGAAACTTCGGCGAAGAACGGTGTAAATGTCCTCGAAGCATTCACAGCCGCTGTTCGAAGTGTTTTGGAGCAGATTCAAAACGATCCTAATCCTAACAAGATGTCTTATCCAGTTGGAATTGGTCCCGCACAAATAACCCTTCCTGGATCAACTGATTCACTTGGAAATTCAAAGTCGTCTAAGTTATGTTGTCGTACTTAATATACAATGAAATTCACTAATGTATCTAAAGTAAGTTAACGTTGTGGGATTTTATAGTTGTACTGACGTATATGTAGGCAGTTGTCGAGCAACTTAGTGATGAGAGCTAACATTATCAAATAATATTTCATTGACAAATTATTTTATTTACACATTGTGCCCCTGTAACTCATCTACATACCGGATAATAGATAACTCTAATCCTTCAATCTCCAGATTAAAAGCCATGAGTCATTTGGCTGAACTGCTTGAGTGGAATTAAACAAATATGAATATCATCAATATAAGAGTAGGGAATAAGTCAGTGGTTTATTTTTTTGAGCAGATTCTTTTCGTCTCCACAGTAAAAAAGATTCTCGATTTGAGTATCCATTTAACATGGGTTCGTTTCTGGTTCACTTTTCAGTAACTCCGTCAATTAAGTACTTAAATTTTGTGTCAGTCCTCAAATGTATGTTACTTAATGAACCATGTAACCACTATTTTCAGCCTGCATAAAATCGATATACGTCGTCATAGTCTGCAGATTGTTATGAGGTTATATCGTTCACTAAAAGATTAATGTGGGTTGATGATTTTCGTGTCATCTGTTTATGTTATTCGACATAACTAACAATTAACAACTGATAGAATCCACTTGTCTATTACATACGAAAGAACTTCAGAACTACTATTTGTTCTTTAAAAAAACACTTGGGTATGCGTACTAGTGTGTAAGAGCTTATGACGTTAAACAGTTGCATGTGAATTAAGTTATCGAAGCGGTTCAGGCTCTTTGGTTTAATTGTTAGTATAGTAGAATATTGAAGATTAAGATTTCAGTTGTCCTATTAGGCTTAAGATAAACTGGTCAATGTTAGTAGGATAAGAATAATTAGATGGAACAGTTTCCTTCAATAACTTCTCCTAAATTCTCTACAGTTATGAACCCATTAATGTTAGTATACAATAGTTGGGCAGATTAAAATTAAGATCGAGAATCTGTCGTGCTACAAGTAAAAGACGGAGTAGTACTCAGTTAATTTTTATCGTTTAAACCCATACAGGACTGTGCTACCAATAAGAACAAAAAGTAAAATAACTGAATGATGCGTTCTTGAATTCATTATCAACAGAAGTATAGGTCTCAAGGGATTAGTCAATAATGTTAGAGGAAATATGAATACTACGAAAGAAAACAACATGTAGTTTACATTGGATAGTTTTTCAAGGGATGATAATAATGATAAAGTAATAATGGTATAGTGTAAACTAGGTGGAAAGGAGTAAGAAGAATTAAGAAAACAATTGTTAAAGTGAAGAGGGACATGATGAGGCATAAAGATATGAAGTGATTACTTCGATGATGACCTTATGGTAGTCCAAGACAGATATAGACGTTGTATTAACTTTTTCGTGTACAAAGGTTAGAGTTAAGATTTCAGTGGACTCCTTTAACTTCAGCTATGGATACGAAACGTGGTTGAATACCTTCTGAGGTAAACTGTTTGGTATTCGATATGTGACCGTAAATAACTCCTTACTTGTGTGGTGTTCATTGTTCATCAAAATAGGATAAGATGGTACTGTTTACTTATCTCCTTCTTTACTCCTTATTCAAGTTAAACTAGTACATGTTGACGAGGACGTAAATGTAGTAAATTTGTCCGAGTACGACTTATGTAATAGCTCCAGTGTAGCTGTTGAATTCATAGATACACATTGATAAGACAGGCCATTATGGGTAATCTATCCTCGATGCACTGTATGCCTACTGATGTAGTTGAGAAGCTGAGTACCAGTTTAGCTGTAGTGTATATTCTCTTGACCGATTGGTTCAGTCGACATTTTTAGCACAACTTCATCTAAGAAGTTTTCTTATTTATGGTACCGATTGCTAACCTTTCTCTAGATCTCAACATGTTTTCTGGATAGCCGTTTTCTTGCAACGTAAGCTTCAGTTTGATAAGATCTGTTAATCAGTAGAAAAAGCAATATGACCAGAAATTGCAGCTACTTATATAGTTATTTCACATGACCAGTAAATCACTAGCTTAAGGTGGACTGATTAGGATATACTAGTAAAATGCCAACAATGTGACTCTTAATCTCACTATAACTAAGCAATAACTGAATCTGATGCCACATGAAGCTTCAGCTAACATTATGCGCTCTGCGTATGTATTTTTTGTTTCTGCGGTAAGTGAAGCTGTGAAACTAAATAGATTAAGATGGTTAGAACGCGTTTTGCACATACTGATCCACCGCATTTCTCGCGGAGCGATGTTAGCTGACATAGGATTAGGTTGGGAAAGAGTTACGAGTGGTTGAATCAAGACATAACATCAATCCAGGAAGTCGCTTACTGTTGATTTGAACCACGTCAGAAGGTGTTGCCTACCTGGCTGGGGTTCTCAGGATGCAGAGAACTAATGGTGTAAGACTCTTGGTTATATGGCTCAAAACTGTTGTCAATAATGCAGATGCATTAAATCTTTATAGTCTCTCAGATATATTGAGTCCTCATTTTTCTGCGTGTTACTATTCTTTCTCCCGCATATTTCTTCTCATTGTAGTTCTTTGGAATATCTTTTCTCTCTACTTTTGTGTGCTACATAGAGCGGAACAACTTCCGTACTTCTGTATACTACCCTATGTTGGAACTTAGTCAATCAGTCAGTTGTATGGTAAGACTGGTCATCAGTTAAAATAGAAATGATGATAGGGTGATAGAGCTGTATAGTAATTATTTCGTACATAAACAATGTAATTATAATGCAGTTCATCCATCGGGTACTAGATATTGAAGCGAAATTTGTATTCATGCGGTTATAGTACTCCACAGTTAGTCATTCAGGTCGAAGTGGATGAATTGGAGTGATGAGAAGTCATGACGCCGCATTTTTACGGTCAATGGAACAATTTAACGGGTCACACCTATATTTGCTTAAGACAACCAACTTAATTATAGCAAGGCAACTTAAATGAAATGTTAAGCTACTTTAACATACATATCATTTTTTAAAGTATTAATGTGTAAGGATTTGAATAGTTTCAAGTTTAATCACAGATTGATATCAGTTGAATTGGCGAAAGTTAGAATCAATTGGCCGTTTCTAGATTTCTAACCCAATGGCTGAATGAATAGTCAAATAGCTCTCCTGGTAACCTTGTTGAAGATCCCTGGTTGGCTGGTTTCAACATGGAACTTTGCACCGCTGTGCAGCAGTTAGAGTCGCCACACTCCTTTCTTGTAGCACACAAAGCAAGAGATGAGATTAGAAGAAATGCAAAATATAGACAGTAGGCAGGGATATGAGACAACAGAAATAGTAATAACGAAGAACAATACAGATTCATTGGAAATAATAAGTCACAATGAGTGGATGAATCTGCGCCAGCCATCACTGAAAATGATTTTGAGCCGTATCACTGATTGTCTCCAGCCTCCATTGGTGTTTACCGTCTCGAGGACCCCAACCAAGGAAGTCTATACCTCCTTACGTGGCTGGCTGGCTGGCTGAAACTAACTGTTGTATATTTCATTGACTGATGAAGCCATGTTTTGGTTTGACCACCACTGGCTCTTTTCCAACCTGACCCTATGTCAGCTAACATTGACCTGCCCGTCGAAGAAGACGATGACTAGGGATGCATGCGTAACACATGTCCTAACCATCTCAGTCGATGCAACTTTACAGCCTCGTCGATTGATTTCCCCTCTTTACCTAGCACTCGACCGATGCCTAACCTGAATATTGCTCACCCTATTATACCACTGAGGATCCCTAGCGGTTGGATCATAGGTGGTGCATACTGCCAAAGAGAGTCAAAATTTAGGACAAAAAACACTGTTGTTCAATGTTCGGTGCTATTCTAACTGAAATCAGTCCGTGATCAAACTTGAAACACACACACACACGCATTGTTTGCATGACTGTATTACCAGAACTGTTTTGTTATTCATCTCGTTTGTTTTAGCTTTTCTTTTCCTTTTGATTTCTCTCTCTCCTAGATGACTATTTTCTTCCTTCTCTTGGCTACAAAGATAATTGGTCCACATTGTACTCCATCCACATTCACATTCACATTGGATTTCTGTGATATACATATATATTTTTTTGATTTTTAACACCAATGTTTTGATGACACTTTTTTTGTCAGTGCATATACAGCGCTGAAATTCATTTAAAACACCTTTGTCTGTCTTCTGTACGAAGTGAATAAATAAATAAATAATTGGGCTGTTATTTTTTTCTTTATTTTGCCTTCTTTATTTCTGTTTATTTTTTATTTTGTGGAAATGTAATGAACAGATTGTCTCTCACCTTGATACTCATTGTTCTCTACGCATATTATGTAACTTTATTTTTCAAGTTATTCTTTTACAAGTGCTTTGTTCTCTTTCTTTTTTGGTTGTCTTCTTTTTTATAGACATATATATAATGTCGTATTTTATAATTGCACAAATTCACTATTACCATTGTCATTATAAGGTGGCATTATCTTTATTATTATTATTATCATCATCACCATCATCACTGTGATTACTTTTGCTATTATTAATCATAGCAATACTAATTGAAATATACAAATAGTAAGTATTTCTTTATTCTGGATGATAGGTAATAAAACTCATCGTTTTTTCCTTTTATTCCTTTGCTTTCCTAGTGGGACATAGAGCTTCAGGCTTTTTGAGCTGAAGTTTCACTAGCAGTGGTGTTTTTTTATTTTTACGGGATGGGGTTGCCTATCCTCATGTCCAACCTTCCGTCTTTTCCAGTCGTATCACTGGCTTAGAGAGGTAAAGGAGTGAGTGCTTCAGGGGCCGGAGATCGAACCCGGGACCACGTGTGGAGTGGTTGGTGTGCATTCTATCGCTGTGCTGCCACTGACACACAAAGCTCATCATACTTACTTTTAATTTTGCATGGTGGTCACTTCTATTAGTTGCGTAATTAATTTATTGTTGAGATGGAAGCTGACTGACTGGTTACAGCATAGAATGTTGCACAGAAAAACAACAGTTCGAGGTGTCACATTCCATGTGGCAAACAAAGGAAGACTGAAGGGCAAAATAAAAGAGATTTGGATAAGCGATAATAAGCAGAAATATGAGGAGGAAAGAATAATGACATAGAAACACAATAGGGTTCTTTTTTGGATATGGCAGATCATAGAGAGTGAGTACATATGCACCACTCAGAACGATTTTGACTTATATCGCTAACGGTTCTCAGAATCCCGAAGGCCCCAACCGGGCAGTTTACACCTTTCTAGGTGGTTCAAACTAACCGTTAGAGATTTCATGAACTGACCTCATGTTTTTGTTTGACTACCACTAGTTCATTTCCAACCTGATCCTATATCACCGTCGAGGAAGGTGATTGCTAGGACATGTGTTACGTATGCCTAGCCATCTCAGTCGATGTAGATTTGATTTTACCTCCTTACCCAGCACTCACCTGATGCCTAACATCAATATTGCTCACCTCATTATACCACTTAACACGGGAGATGGAAAGTAGACACCTGTGATCAAAGACAGCTAGCCAGGCATTTTCATGTCTTCCAATTTTAGTGTTCATGTCTCACTCACAGCCATAAAGGAGAAAGGAGAGAACTGCTGTGTAGTACACACGTCCTTCGTTCGATAGGTAGCCGGATATCCCGCTTGCTAAGTTAGAGATGGAGTAAGTTAGCAGGCAAATGCCAAACAAGCTTTCTACATCTGTACTGAGATTTCGTCAGTGATCAACTTGTTGGCACTGGCTGATGCCATTCCCCAAATGAGTGAAGTGGTCAACACGCTCCACCAATTACTTCGCTGCCTATTTCTAAGCTAGGAGTCAATGTAGTCCAGTCCTGTAGCCTGATTATCTTACATTTGACAGGAGCGGGTGAATTGCATGCCAAACATTCGCAGATTTCTGCTCCTGAAGGTGTTCAGAAGACCCTGTATGCATTTTGTCAGGGTCTTCACCTAGGAGGGAGGACTATATCATCTGCATATTCTAAGTCAACAAAATTACTGCCTGGTGGTAAAATGTCGATCCCTGAATCGTTGAATTCAGTTAGGGTTGAGTCCATTAGTTCATCGATGATGAAATTAAAACAGAAATGGGGACTGTGGGCATCCCTTACGGACACCACTGGTTGTTACCACTTCAGATGACAACTCTGTGTAAGATATTACCTCTCTGCGTGAGTTCAAGTAGAGTGCCTTGATCAGTGCGATACACTTTTTTGGAGCAGCATAGGCAGACTGTTACTTTCAACGACTGATGCCCTCTATGGGATACATAGCTTTGAGTAAAAATTATGTTCTTTTATGGTATTCATGTGTTTAGTCAGAAACTTGGTCGGATACCACTAGGACGTAGGTGATGAATTAATGGCGTCGTCTTCATCCTCTAAGCAAATAATTATGTGGTAAGGATTTTATTGACTCTTAAGGAGGGAAGTATTTGAGTGTGTTGACCACTTCACTCAATTAGGAAGTTGCATCAGTCCTTAGCGGACTGATTGCTAACAAAATCTCAGCTCATGTGGAATTCACCGAATTACATTATCTCCGGCGTAGACGTGATATCCGGCATCGATCAAAGAATGCGTGTATCGCGAATCAGTTCGCTCTGTCCTCCCTTATTACTGTCAGAAATGACCATTGGAATTGAAAGACTTGAAGAGGCTAGTTGTCTGTGACCACAGATGTTTGCATTATATCTCTCGTGTTAGGTGGTATAATGTAATGGGCAATATTAAGGTTAGGCGTGGAGTGCTAGGTAAGAAAACCATACCAATCGATGAAGTTATATCGACTGGGATGGTTAGGATACTTGTTGCACATACTGAGCCACCACCTTCCTTATTGTGCAATGTCACCTGACAAAAGGGTTGAGTTGAAGAAGGGAAAGGGGCGGTCTAATCAAAACCCCTGCACAAATATATGAAGTCTTCATCTGTTGGTTTGAGCCAGCCATGTAGGAAGGTCATAGATTATCTGCTTGGGGTTGGAAGGATTCTCAGAACCAATGGATCAGATGCACTCCCTCTCTATGTTCTTCTGTATCCATTAAACCCTCATGTTACTATTCTTTCTCCCTCAGATGTCTACTGATTGCAGTTCTTGTGAATGTCTTTTGTATCTTTCCTCTACCTTTAAGTGCTGTATGGAGTTTGGTAACTTGAACTACCGCAATTCTGTGAGAGATTCTATGTTGAAACTCAAATACATTCTTTTCTGACTGACTGGTTTCCACGTAGAACTTTGCACAGATGTGCACCAGTTTGAGTTGCCACTCTCCCTTCATGTAGCACACAAAGCGAAGACAAGAGAGTTAATAAACGGAAATACGAGGCGAAAAGAATAGTAATGTAGAAGATGAATAGAAATTCACTGGATATTATAAATCATAGAGAGTGAATGCATCTGCGCCAGCGATCACTGAGAACGATTTTGAGCTATATAACCGATTGTCTCCAGCCATTGGTTTTTACCATCCCGAGGACTCCAACCAGTCAGGAAGTCTACACCTTCCTACGTGGCAGCTGGCTGAAACTAACTGTTGCAGATTTCATTGACACATTTCCTAACCGTCTCAATCGGTGTAACTTTCCACCGCTCCATTGGTTGATTTCCCCCACTTGAATAGAATAGAATATATTCTATTCTTAAAATTTAAGGAATAAAATAAAGCAGTATCAGGCTTGGTATCCTAGGTTTCTTTTTCTGCGATAGAGTCTTGACATAACAGAGAAGATTTGTAGTTCAGGTGGATGATTTGCAATTACTTGTGTTCTCTGAGCTTGTTGGTATTATAAATCATGTGACGAGGAAGTTCAACATCCAAGTCGATAAAAAATGATCAGTACATATGTAAATCGACTATTAGTCACGAAGATGGTTACCAGGAGCCACAATTCTATCATTCTTGGCGAATTTAAATCAGTTCATTTTATGCTAAAACTTGCGCTGAAGATGTTATCCAGAAGGACGGCGAAAGCTCCGCAATTAAACCAACCAGCTCAGAGAAAACAACTTATTGTAAGTGTTACTGTTGTTGCACAAGTGAGTGATGGACTATTCCTAATGGATTTGAGTCATTTCTATTTGTCAAAATCCTAGAAGTTGAAGTATGAATAATGTGATTGACATGCGGTACTTTGCTTAAACAGATGTATTGTCATCAGCGTTCATGCAATAGATGTGACTCACTCCAGTTTTTGTAATGGCGCTTTATCATCAAACCATGATGGTGATACAATCTTGTTGCTTAAACCTCGTTAGCCAGGGTACGTTTCATACTGGTAATCCACTGACTGGAAGTTCAGTTTCCAACCTGACGAGTAGACAGCAACACCTGCGTTACACTGGTAGTTATGTAAAAACAGAAGATAAGGGCCAGGCAACAGATTGTTTATTAAGGAAATCAAAGCATATTTATATATTTTCATGTACATTATTATAGATTAGTTAAGCAAACAAACACAGTCTACTGATTAGTTGTTTCTCACTTAAAGTTAATCTTTCATCTCTTTGTGACTGTTTCTTGAATGTCAGATCATCTATATGTTAATTGTATCCGCCTACGCAAAGTCTGCTGTGGTCGGTTTTGAACCAGTCTTCGTTCATGTTTTCTCACGACAAATCTTGAGAACGTAAACATTGACGTAAATTACTGTCTACCAGTTTGGTAGACAGCTCTCACCACAGTTGCACTAGCAGAAGGGATGCAATATTCAAACTTCTGATGCATAAGTCGGGCGTCAACTATCTACATTAATGGGTAGTAGTGAAAAAATGGCTCACTGGCTTAAGCAATCGACTTTCACAGTCGGTGGATCTCGGGTTCGAATCCCCTTCCACTTACTACAGCTTAGACAACTACTGGCTAGTGTCATCAGACCTCACACAATAAGCGTACTTCATAGCCTAGGGCATGAAAAACCTGTCCCAGGAAATCATTTCACTTATTAGTATGTCGTAGTCTCCTGCCCTATCAAGTGTTGAGTATAGGTTAACAATTTTTTCACAAATGTAATGAAATTTTACCCTCAGGTGGGTGTTTTTGACCCTCATACAATAATGAATATTCTCATTTTGCTATTCACTGAGGAAGGTATTTGTTGTAGGTTTCGAAAACATTCCAAACAGCATTATTCCCTTGGAAAGCAGTTACAATATTCATACTCAATATCTATACTTTATACAGCCGGTTCCCTTTATTAGTTTGAATAAAGAAAGAACGAACACATTTGCAGGATAATACCAGCTCGTTTTATTTTCCGGATTCTCTTCATCTGCGTGCATCCCAAATAATAAATCAATTATATGTTGCGGGATTTTCTCTGAACATACTTTTTACAATGATGTCAAGTTGTAGACAGAAAGCATAAGCAACGTAATTACAAAGATGATGTAAGTAGACAATTATTTCGTGTTAAAAGACTAACTAGGGATTAGACAAAGGGGTGGAATTCGGACTTCTCTTGGAAACAAGGGTGAATTCGTGACAAAATACACGATAGAACAACAGGAGGATG